TGGGGCGAACATTGACGTAAGGTAGATACACTCCCTGGGGCGATTCATCATGGGAGAACAGAAGGGTAGTGTTGCTACAGGAGATAGCTTGGGGGTCAGGAGTACATGGGAGGGAAAGATACAGGAGTACATGGGGAGGAAGGGGAAGAGAGCTGTTACATTGTCGGGAATTGCAGTCAATGTCATGAAACAAAATGTATATGAAATGCTGTATGGAAAATGAATTTGCTCTGTAAACTTTCACCCAAATCACAATAAATTTTTTTTAAAAAAAGAGATAATGGTTTTACTGGGGAGGGTGGCTTAGCAGACGAAGATGGGGTAATCTGTTCAGATGGAAGTAAGAGGGCTCAGTCTGTTGGCAGGAATGATTCAATGGAATTTAGGAGTTTATTGTCCTCAGCTTCCTGATTATCTGCTCCTATGCTCCCACCCTAAGTTTTAGGGTCCCATTACTTCCAGTCAGTGCCCTTGCTTTAACTTCAGACACCATTTTAGGTTGGGGATTCAATTGGCATTGTAATTCACCCCCTCTTAGGATAAGACTCTGATTTTCAGCAATATCAGCTGTGTTACTACAAGAAAGAAAGCTTTCTTTCATTTCATTTTCTTTCAGTGGCAACTTTTAGGTCTTGTAAGCAGCACTTGTTCTGTGACTCCAAAGCTTTAGGCTCATCCTTTTCTTTCACCACTATGTCTAGGAAAAGTAGGATCAATTAACCAGCTTCCTTTTACTTCTCGTTCTGATAAAATGATTGAAAGGCATCAAATGTGCATTCACACAGAGCCTTGTGTTTCACAAATATTTGATCAAGTGGTGGTGATATTTTGCATATTTCTATTTTCACCTAATGCTATGGATTAGTAGTGTGCTCCTTACTACTGGAGGCAGAGTCACCAGTGCCTTTCAGACTAGCCAGACATGAGAACTAATTCAGAAAACTTACCTTTATGATTTTGTTCCTTTAGAACCATTCTCGGTACCAAATGTCTCAGGCTGGATTCTCTACAGGAGCAAAACCAGTGATATATATATTGATTTATTTCAAGGAAATGGCTCACACAGTTGTGAAGGCTGACAAGTCCCAAAACCATGGGTCAGGTGTTAAGCTGGAGGCTTCTCCTGACTCATGTGGTTGCAGGGGCTGATGAACCTCAAATCAGCAGGTCAGATGGAAAGCTTTTGGCTCACAGAGTTGAGTGAGCTGGCAAATCCTAAATTCTGTAGGTCAGGTGGCAGGTTGCTGGCTCACATTCCAAGAACCAGAAGTCAGGGGATGACAAATCAGATGCAGGATCGAGAGAGATAGAAAACTTTGCCAGAACGTCCATCTATATTGGATGCAGACCATACCCCCAAGGTACCTTCTCTTTCAATTCACAACAGATGAAAATGGAGAATGATTACATAATATCTGCCAAACTACTAAGAATCATGGCCTAGCCAAATTGACCATCACAATTTTGAAGTATAATTTTAATCCCAAATGGGAAAATATAAAATTCTGGCTGACAATTTTTTTTCTATTGTTTTAAAGATGTCATCTATTGTTTTCTGCTATTCATTGTTTCTGAAGAAAAGTCAGCCAACATTTGTATCAGTATTCCCTTATATGTAATCTATCTTTTTTTTTTTT